TTATACAGGGTGTTTTTTTGGGAGCTTTAGTTAAACGTTTCTGGGAAAGTAAAATAGGTAGGTTTTTGAAAATGTGTACTTAGGAGTTACGCTGAAGGCCGAATCGATGTAAAATATTTTCAAAATGGCCGCATACTTCCGGAAACACCGGGAGTAGATAGTAACTTCGTTATTTTAAATAGCAACCCCAATTTTTTATTGGGTTTTTGGATTCTACGTGAAATTTCAGTTCTTTTGATACCCATATGTCTATATCTACCATTTATGGTTTTTAAGTTATTTTGACTTTAAGAAAAAAATGGCTGTTGCAGATGGTACCTTGATAATTAATTACTTGAAAACGGTTGTAGTCATGGCAACCTATTTTTATCAGTGCATATAAACCTCTCGCCAGGAAAGATTGCCGGTGACAGAACACTTGATCCCGATCTACAATCTATGTTTTTCTAAAGATGTGACCGACTTCCGGGATAGTATTGTGTCAATGTTAATCGAAAAAACTTTTCGTTTAACATTGACACGATCCTATTCCGGAAGTCGCTCGCATCTTAAGAAAAACATAGATTGTAGATCGACACAAAGTGTGCTGTGACCGGCATTCTTTCCTGGCGAGAGTAATAGAATGAATACAGCTTTCTTTTAGTGTACTTAAAAAAAAGTTTAGTTGCGTAAGACTACCCCTATGGAGATCCAAATTCACCATTTTCTTAATATTGTAGGAGATAAAGAATCGAAATGGGCATATTTTGACAATACATGTTCCTATAGCTATCTTTAACAGTTTCTGACTTATTCCCATTTTATTGAATTGACATTATTTTTTTCGAATTTTCTTTTTAGTAGTCGGCCATGATTTTATAACAATTGAATTTTAAACAATTCTAGTGACACTAATCCGTCACCTACTGTTATAGATTACATAAGTTTTTCAAAAATCGAAAAATGACTCGGAGCGGTTTCACCTATTTTGGAATTTAATTGTTATTTATGGTGAAATGGACAGAATCGCGGCACGTGCTAGAATCAATGATATTAAAGAATCCTTTCCTTGATTTGTTTAAAATTCGATTGTTATAAAATCATGGCCAACTACTAAAATGAAAATGCGAAAAAAAATGGCATCAATTCAATGAAATGGGAATAAATCAGAAAATGTTAAAGATAGCTATAGGAACATGTAATATCCCAATATTCCAATTTCGATTCTCTATCTCATGCAATATTAAGAACATGGTCATTTCATTAAAAAAAACGGAGGTTTTGGACTTTGAAGTTTCTTAAATTTGGATCTCCATAGGTGCGGTAGTACGCAACTTAACTTTTTTTAAGTACACTAAAAGAAAACCCTACTCATTCTCTATGCACTGATAAAAATGGGTTGCCATGACTATAACCGTTTTCAAGTAATCCATTATCAAGGTACCATCTGCATCCGCCATTTTTTTTCATGAAGTGAAAATAACTTAAAAACGAGCTTAAAAACCATAAATGGCAGATATGGACATGTTGGTATCAAAAGAACTGAAAGTTTACGTAGAATCCAAAAAGGCAATAAAAAATAGGGGTTGCCATTTAATATAACGAAGTTCCTATCTACTTCCTGTGTTTCCGGAAGTGTGGCCACTTTCAAAATATTTTACATCGATTCGGTCTTCAGAGTAACTCCTAAGTACAAATTTTCAAAAACCTACCTATTTTACTTTCCCAGAAACGTTTAACTAAAGCTCCCAAAAAACACCCTGTATATATCCGATCACGATAAAGAGTCGAGGAGGAGGCTATGGTTGGTAGAAATTAATTCATTTCGTTGAGACTTTTCATTAGAGTACCATGAAGGATAAAACTACTTCCACCCCCGACCTGTAATTGAAATACCATGAAAGATAATATTAATTTCTCCCCCTCCCTCCGACCACCTACTGACCTCGGAAAGGAGTCCCGAAAGTTGTAGTTTGTACAAAACAATTCATTTCGGCGAGATCTTTCATTAGAATACCATGAAATGAAGGTTATAAAGTGTGTTACCCCCCCCCCCCCAAATTTCACTTGGCACCACTAACGGCATGCATATGCAAATTCTGAGACCATGTCGCATGTAAAGGTTATGCACATTTTACATTCAAAAACAGCAACTCAGACCCCCCCCCCCCCCCCCTTCAGACAGCGAAATGTGATGCCTGCCTTGCACATCTTCAAGGTATAGGCTACCTACTGTAAAACATTCAAGGACCCTAGAACCATTCCCCTAGAAGTAGTTCGAAACGGCAGAAATCGGTCCGGACGGACGGACAAAATGCAAACAATAGCAAAATTTTTTTAATTCTTTAAAAATGCGCTATTGTTTGCGCTTTATCCCCTCAACGATAAATTGGAAAAAAAACATGGTCGACATGGCGCATACAGTGACTGTAGTTTGTACAAACTATAACTTTCCCCCGGTGAAGGGGGGTACAAATTAATTTGATCTTTCGCGGCATTGTAATTAATTGTAATGGTCTCAACAAAAGGAACTGTTTTCTACAAACTACCGCCCTTCTTTTCGACTCCTTATTAAAAAGGGAAGGGAGGGGGGGGGGCGATTTTATGGTACTCTCTAATGAAAGGTCTCAACACAAGGAATTAAAATATAGGCATAAAAGGCAAGTGGAATATCGGGACAAACATCTATTGATGATGTAAAAATGCCATTGTGAATATCTGGAAAATCTTAAAAGAAGGCACTTACAAAGGGAAAATGCAATTTATTTATTTATTTATTTATCTACATGATGATTTCAAGGATCATGTTTAATTTTCTACCCTACTTTTGCTCAGTGAGCCACTGGTAGATTGTGAAACAAGAATTTAATTTTATGATTTGTTTGGAAACTTTTTGATCTCTTATACTTTTTTCGTATCTGTGACCGATATCAAGAAAAAAACCAATTTTCGGTAATTGCCTAAAAGATAGTACAATTTTTAAAATGGTCCAGTAGGCCCTGATGTTATTTGGATAATATCTTTGTTTTTATTAGTTTTGACAGTTGGCATTGAAAATGGTATCTTGTGTTTACATATGTTTATAAAATTGTCAAGTGTGCGGTGAAATTATAACACCGTGTGGATCGGTAACGAAGCGTTTGTGGACTTTTTTGTGCACTTTCACTTTTAATAAAAAATAAAAAATACACTTTTGCGCTCTAGTGTCTGTCTGTCTGAGCCACAAAGGCTCCGGAACTACACCCCCTACAGATTTGGTATTGGTGTCATTCGATCAGAAATTAAAAATGATTTCATGTTTGGGCCATAACGGCCGAGAAAACGGCTATTAAGATCGAAAAAACAAATTTGAAAGTGCACTCTTCGCCACTTGCTCAGAAGCGGCTTAACAAATTATTAGTGAATTAAAAAAAGAATGTACTATTGTTTGCGTTTTCTCCGTCCGGACCCACTTCTGCCGTTTTGAACTACTTCTAGGGTAATGGTCCTAGGGCCCTGGAATTTTGTTTGCAGTAGGTAGCCTATACCTTAAAGGTGTGCCAGACGGCCCCTGAATTATTTCCTGTGATGCTGTTTTTGAAAGTAAAACGTGCAAACTTACATACGACAACCAATTGGTCTCAGATTTTGCATAAGCATGTGCCAAGTTAAACTTTAGAAAATGGGAGAGGGGGGGGGGACACGTTCTACCCTTCGTGGTATGCTAATGAAAAGTCTGGGGGGAGGGGGGTTAGAAATTAATCTTTCATGGTATTCTAATTAAAGGTCTCGACGAAAGGAACCGTTTTCTATTATGATCACTATCGTTATGGTGACGAACATAGGTTTGTTGTTTTTATTTATTGCAAAAAAGCCGTTAGCCGTTCCTTTCACAAGAAAATTTGTAAGTACTACGACAAAGAATGATCGCCGAATGAGGTCTTGAAAAATGTAAGATCTGGGTTTGAATCAAGATTCTATTGTTGCATGCATGGCCTAATATATTATGCCATGGTTGCATGTAAGTCAGTGGAGCTCATTTCGAGCTTTGGGTTATTAATTTTTAAACTTTGAAATTTTAAAGCATGGTTTCTCGATAACTTATCGATCGATTTTAAATAAATAATAAAGGTTATATAAGTAATAAAAACCCGAGTAAAACCCCCTTTGAAATGTAGGTAATTTAAACCCCCCGGCCCCATTTAAAAATTTGGCGGGAGTTGCAAACAGAGGATTCAAATTTTTGAAATTTTGTCCAATTTTTGTGGGAGTTCAAATGTTCGTTGAGACACTGTGTATAGTGCCTAATGTGCTCTTTACAATCTTGGCTACAATCCACTATGTATTCTAGTAAGGTTGTTAGACATACCATTGGAGTTGAAGATGAGAAAGGCGTTTTTTTTAAATTTCTAGTTGCAAACAAACACTTCGAAGTCAAAAATTCTGACTCTGAATTATAAAAAAGGGCCCTTCCCTCTTAATCATCCATAAAACTAGATAATGATAGTCGGTATTTTAATAACTGAAAACGGGGCAATGCAATATTTCGTTGAATTAGAACATTTCAAAATGAGGACAAGTACAGAAAGCGCTTACCGCATGAAATTTGAAAAATTATTAAACTGGGAACTTGTATTTTGCACACATTCCAAAAGTAGGCAATAAACCGTCGCACAATGAGGGAAAAACGTACACCACCGACGCTCCAAACGTTACTACTACGTTATCAGCGAAGTGAACATCGGGTGGTCGGGATTATTTATGATAAGACGGCAAAACCACGTCGCTCTAAACAGGTGAATCGGATATTACGACGGACACGAAAAACTCGCCCTAAATGACGCGGATATAGAGGGGGCGAACTCAGATAGCCACTCTACGTTTTCCCACATTTTAAACTACTCCAAGTACTACGTAATGTCCAAGAAAATTTATAATTCAATACCTTATCGACCACAAAAAAAAAATAATGTAGCGAAAGTAATAAATTTTTACAGATTGTAGGATCCTTCCCTTAATTTTATAACGGTACACTTACTTACCTTTATTAGTGCTTGATTACATTTCTTGATCGTTAAATGGGCGAGGTGGGCTTTAGAGGTGTAACGTGTTGCAAACTCTATAAAAGAAGGAAAGACAGATTACCCAACTGAGTCATCGCATTTCCGTGAAAGTTACATCATGACGCTGATAAGAACGTAACACACCTACCTATGTATTTGGAGACCTCAAAAACTGACATTCAGTAATAAGTCATTTTGGCCGTCAAAATATAAATGACAGTTTGTGGTTAATCTTGTTATTTTGGAAATTCCAAATGTTCAACGATTTGAGAAGAATGATATACAGGCTGTTCCACGCAAACCGTTACCTAAAAGTAATCAGACCCCCATTAATAATTTAAATCTGAACATTTGCATACCAACATCGTTTTTCATGATCTATCGAAAGAAAATATCACAATCGTTTCACTTCCAGTTTTACCGGGTGTGGGATAGCAACTTTCTTATTTTAGAACACCCTATATTTTTTTGTATTTTCGAAATCTACGTCGTTTGATACCACATTTTCCTATATCCAGCATCAATGGTTTTCAAGTTATTCAAGATTTTTCAAAATTTTTGACGTTTGAGTGCTTTTCTATAACGCCCTGTTGAGTTGAATTTCAAAAAGTCTTCCAAACTCATCAATACTGACGTCATGCTGCATGCGGATGATTTAAAGGGGCTTGTGCCAAAATAAGGTTAAGAACTTGACCAATTTGAAAGGCCAATTTAATTACAAAACCATTAACTCACGTCTCTTTGGAAAATAATTAAGAAAGAAAACCTGATCGTGACAAATGGAACGCCTTAGTAATTATGATTAAAAAAGACTATACAGGCTGTTTCACGCAAACCGTTACCTAAAATTATTTAAACTCCCTTTAATAATTCAAATCTGAAATTTTTTCATGATCTATCGAAAGAAAGTATTATCATGATCATTTCACTTACGGTTCTACCAGATGTCGATAGCAACTTTCTTATTTTAAATAGAATACCCTACACTTTATTCCATTTTCGAACTCTACATGAAAATCTACGTTGTTTGATACCACACATCCCTATACCCAGCATCAAAGGTTTTCAAGTTATTCAAGATTTTTCAAAATTTTTTTCGTTTGACCCCTTTTCTTCTAAGCCATATACCGATGGCTCCGTTGACTTGAATTTCAAAAAGTTCTTCAAAATCAACAATACTGACGTGATGCTTTAAATGATTCATGATTTAAATTTTGATCGCCCTTCTACAGGGCGTTTCAAAATTAATGACCAAGTTTAATAACTTCAAACTTTAAAAAGTTGATTTTTTCAAATGAATCGTGCTTTATTTTTGTTGCCCAAAAATTCTACATCGATCAATTATTACACTTCCTATATGGTTTTCGTTTTATTTAAAATTTTCTAAAATTGTGACCGTTATATGCATTAATTTCTTAGGAGGCCTTGAAATAAACGCGTTGGTAGATGTAATTGTACCATTATCTGAGGAAAACAATTGGTTTCAACTTGACGGAGCACCGCCTTATTCTACCTATGATGCTTATACACGGTGTCCATTTTTCGAATGCCACTATGGGGATCTCACTTATCTTAAGAGATAGACAGTTGGTTAAATGGGGGCAAAGTTGCAAATTTCCGTGCTGAATAAGAATCTGAAAAGAAATTTGAAATATCTTCAATCCTTTTGAAGATATGACAAAAAAAACGAAAATTTCTGATCATCGTTTTTAATTTTTTTATGATAAACTAGTCGTAGTAGACATTTCTAATTAGCACATTCTTCAGACACTTTTTAATGGAGATTTCAAATATGGCATCCTGTTTTTAATAACTGTCAAGATGACGGAGAAACACGTGGCAACTTTAGTTTTTCTTATGGGCGCCATATTGAATTTTGACATTTTGGGATTACGTCTTTTTTCTCTTTACAACGATATATCACACATACTGGTTCAGTATCACATTTTTCCTAAAATACAATTTTTCATTATTTGAGTGCTTTGGATTGCTATTGCTAGTGCTATTGATTTTGTTTATTTTTGTTTGTTTTATTGTCACAAGAATTAATTTAGTTTTGCGAAAAAATTTTAGTTTTCTAACCTTGACATTTCTTTCTCAGTTTATTTCTTTCACAATTGTTGTAGGTTGTACACAGAAAAATAAGGCCTTCCGAATACCTTAATAAAAAATTTAGATTGTTTTTTGGGAAAAAATAACGATGCCGTTGCGCGCTCCAAAATTTTTTCTCAAAAATCCGGCCCGTTATTTTTCATTTTAAATCACTTTGTTAATTAATTATTAATTATTTTTTGATACCTTTGAACATAAATGAACGCTAGCACATTCTCGGAAATTACCTACATTGTTCGGTTTTTTGGTCATGTTTTTTTGCGCAAAAAAAATGGTTAAAAAAAGAAAAAAATGTAGGGTATGTAATTTAATTAATTACGCAAATTTTGACTGTCCACTTTCTTTCTAAAAATTCGGGCAGCTATTATAAGAAAATGCATCAAAAGTCCTTTGCAACGATGTCCCGATCGCATCTTTAGCTTGATTACGAGCGGAGACAGGGTACATTTTTGATAAAAAAGTGGTTAATCAACCCTCAAAAATTCAGCTTGCCAGGGATTTTGTTGGGGTCCTGGGCGTAGAGCTCTCAGCTACTATACGAGTACGGACACAGTTTGTTTGCGACTACAAACTTTCACAATCACAAGAGTTACATCACTTTCTTTACGCTTACATAAAATTTGGAAAGTTACTCTTTCCCTCAAATTCGAGTAACAGATCTATACATGTACGTTAGGGGTGTATAAAATGTTAAATTGAAACACTAGTCTAGGCGATAGAGATTGTAAAATTGGCAAACTGGACATTTTGAGGTGGAAAAGAAAAAAATGGTGGAATATGTTCAGTTAGGTGTCAAAAACAACATATTAAAAATCCCACCCTCCAGATCCTGTGCTAAAGGCTCCAGCCACCCCACCATCCCCCAAAAACCGTGTTTTCGCTCTTTTTGGCTGATATCTCGCGATCTATGAGGTCTATATGAAATATTTTTAGCTGAAAATATTTCTCGGGAAATTTTATGCAAGGTAGATACTCAGAAGTTAGCCTAGGTGTACCCCTTAGCCTAAGAAATTCATAAAAGCGGCAAAAATCATCAATTTTCGTGGCTTTTTGCAAATATATCGCGACCTTTAGGGCTAGATGAAATATTTTTAGCTGAAAACGCTCCTCGTGAAATTTTTTACTCAGAAGTTGGCCTAGGTGTACCTCTTAGCCTAGGAAATTCATAAAAGCAGGCGAAAATCATCATTTTCGTGTTTTTTTGCGGTTTTTTGCAAAAATATCGCGACCGTCATGGCTAGATGAAATATGTTTAGCTGAAAAAGCTCTTCGTGCAATTTCATACGAGATAGGTAACTGAAGAGTTGGCGTAGTCACCTTTCACTTTCAACTTTCATGTGTGAGGAAATATTCATTGTAAAACAAAGTATTTCTATGTACCATTTATTCACGTAAAAACAGTATTTTCATATTAAAATATTCACACATTCATTTATACCTCAACGTAATCATTACCCTTATACTTATCCAAATCAATTCGTACTTTTTCGATCAGACTTCTCAATCAAAAGTTATAGACTAGAAACCAATTTGAAAAAAAAATTCAAAGGGCTGTAACTTTTGAACTAGTAGCCCAATCTTGGAACTGTTTGAAATTATGGATTCTACAGGCCACATTCTATAAGAAAATTTTTTTCCGGGTCGATCTGAGACAATTTTTTTCGGGGCTCAAAAAAAGGCAATGAACCGCAAAAAAACACGAAAATTGATGATTTTCGCCTCCTTTTATAAATCTCCTAGGCTAAGAGGTACACCTAGGCTAACTTCTGAGTATCTACCTTGCATAAAATTTCCCGAGAAATATTTTCAGCTAAAAATATTTCATATAAACCTCATAGATCGCGAGATATCAACCAAAAAAGAGCGAAAACACGATTTTTGGGGGATGGTGGGGTGGCTGGAGCCTTTAGCACAGGGTCTGGGGGGTGGGATATTTAATATGTTGTTTCTGGCACCTAACTGAACATATTCCACCATTTTTTTTCTTTTCCACCTCAAAATGTCCAGTTAGATGTCTTTATCGCCTAGACTACACTTCGTACCGCGATTTTTTTTATAGTTTTATTGACGACATGCTTATTCATGACCACTAATTATAATAATTCTCTTATTATCCACGCATTCATTAACTTGAAGGTTAACAGGTAAATACTTAATTGTTTTTTTGGCAAACTTGTGAGAAATTAATCATTAGTCCTTCAATGTAAAGGGTTCTGATTGTAATTTTAATTCTTCATTGTCCACTTTAGTGGGAGGCGGTTTAAATCTTTCACTTTTTTTCACTGCTCATGCAATAAGCTTACCAGTTTCCGAGTTTCCACTTCGTTTCTAAACTGGGGTTCTTTCTCATTTAAAAATGAATAATAAACCAAGCAGAGTAGAAGAGCAATTGGACGCAAATGATACAATTCGACAGTGTCGACTAAGGTCAAGAGTATAATTATTGTCGTCACAGTTCAAGACGAACGGCATTATTTAATTAATACATGGATTTTCAATAGTCGACAGTTAACTATTTACTGCACGCGATTTACCTACCAATACAATTTGTTTTGAAAATCAATTCACGCCCTAAACCAAGCACAATTTATTGTTCTCGTTCTTACCCCTCAAATCTGTCTGTTCGCGCATATGTACCTATTTTTTTTCCAGAAGCGATAGATATTTTCTAACCGAGGAAAAATCGTGTGTTTAAAATTGAAAATCAATTTGAAACATCTGCCTTCAAAGCAATGCTAAATAATTAACCAAGTTTGCCATTAGAAATGAAGCAATTGCCATATACATAACGATTGGTTACGTATTTTCCCTTAAAATTTCATCGAATCATTATAAAGAAAACCTAAATATTTGTACACGTGGTAGGATGCCACAATTAACGACTTTACTTAGGTATTTGTCAATCCCTTTTCGGTCTTGCAAACAAATTCCTACCCCAAGATTCGAAATAAGAGGGCAAGATTCGAAAATTCCGGAAAATTCAATTTTACAAAACTTATGAAATCTAGCACACTGTGTGCTGTCAGGATGCGCGGTGTCTGCTGATGTGCTGGACAGAAAAGACCTAAATCGACTTGATCAATGTTCCGTTTAGAAGATTTACATATGTGCACACCCTATATCCTGACAGCACATGGCATGCTAGATTTAATACCTAAGTTTTCTAAAAGAATTGAATCATGAATTTCTCCATTTT